GCTATAACTAGACATCTAATATATAAATATATATATATATATATATATATATATATATATATATATATATATATATATATATATATATATATATATATATATATATATATATATATATATATCCACAATTACATGGCATACATCTTTAATACAGAATTAATATAGACTCGGAAATGTATGTCATACATTGACAATACATAAAATAAGATTAATATATGGTAACATGAGATTAAATCATATACACAATATTCGTGATACGAGGTTATCAACCAAGATATCACTGTATAGTTTGAGCACACTCATTCACCAATCTCAGTATAATCATACTAGTGTATGCATGGTCATAACAGTATCATACTCATATTGGGCTAGGTCACCCTTAATAACATTTAAATTTTCAATGGTTAAATTAGTGTTGGCAAGTTCAGCTTGATATTTTTTTTCTATCTGCCGTTTGACTTGCTGATATTTACTTGTTACTTGAAAGTAGGTTCCCAGTTACACATGATCAACTGGAGATTGTTGAGACAGATCATTGCATATATTAATTTGTCTTGTTAAATGATCCGTAAGTCCTGTTATGGTCTGTTTTAATTTCATTTCTGGAGAAGCCATGCTGGCTGTTTGATTTGGTTTTGTTGGTCCCATAATTTCGTAGTAGAAGTAACTGGGATATTGGCTCATGAATTTTGAACAGATATTTAGTGATAATAGCCTAGGATAAATTTTTCAATCACTTGACTAAATCATACCTCCTTGGAGGTTGGCACATAAATATTTAATTCAAATATATATACAAAAGATTTGAGTGGTACTCAGTGTCACTGTAGGAATTTGCTAAAGCTAGCCCTTCTCAATCGCTGTTGGATGGATAGCAACACAATTCTTATCCCTTAAAGATGAAATAATTACAGATAAATATAAATGGATATAATGTGGAATAATATAAGATAAGAATGTCCAACACAACTCGTGTTGTTAATGATCCCACCCCTTAGGGTCTGCACAATTGTTTAAATGGTTGCTAGGTTTGACAATATTTAGTTTAACACTTGACTAAGTAATATGCTACCCTGATACTGGTCAACACAAGTAATTGGATTGGAATTGTCTGATCATTATTCAGTTCTACACTAGCTCAATATTGTACTATCCAGCATAAGGGTTGGTACAAATAAATTAAATATAATGTGCAGTAAGGAGAATGGTGCAATATTTTTTTTATTTTATTGTATTTTATATTAAATGATTCTCTTATTTAGAGAAATGTATGTATAATTTTAGTATTGTTAAACTCTCATCAATCTTTGGTATTTAATTAGTTTATTAAATTGTTGGAGACTCTTACGTGAAATTGATCCACCCAATTATTGAATAAACTTATGCAAAAGTATAACCACAATTTAGTTAAATTTAATTTGTGCATCAAACTCTGAGGAAATAAAACACCACCAGTTTCTATGGATATATCTTGAGATGATTTCGGGGCTTTTTGGTGTCCCCGCGGCCTGGTCCTCGACCAGGCCTCCACCCCCAGGAAGCAGCCAGTGACAACTGACTAACACCCAGGTACCTATTATACTGCTAGGCAACAGAGGCACAGGGGTGAAAGAAACTCTGCCTATTGTTTCTCGCCGGCGCCCGGGATCGATCCCGGGACCACAGGATCTCAAGTTCATTGTGCTGTCCGCTCGGCCGACCGCCCTATAGCTATATTAAGCTACAAATATAAGCTATATAATATAAGAATATTAATTTAAACTTTTATTTTTTTTAACATTTAATTTTAACTAATTTTTATTAATATTAACAAATATTAAGCTATATAATATAAGCTACAAAAATGACAATAATTTTATTGATGTGCAGCTATACTTCGTACCGTATTTATAGGTATTAATAATTTATTTAACTGCTATATTGCCTGTATTAAGGCTTGGAACAATAATAGTGTAATGTTTAGTAATAATATACATGTACTGAGGTTGAGAATTGATGAGGCAGGTTACTAGTGAATAAGCTGTGTGTTTCTACTGCTAAATATTTGTTCGATTATTTATGCACTAGTTCTTTTTTAATTGTGGATCATAAAGATCCGGGTTTGAAGAAACAGAACGTAGGGGATTCTGACTCGTGGAATGTTACTATTTATTTTCATCATTATTAATTGATTAATTTACTTAATAAACTCATATTTATAATTTATATTTCTCTCGGTCGTGTACTGTATGTTTAATTGAGTGGACTGTACGGTATTAAATACCGTACAGGGGGGGTTAGTAATTATAGCCTATCAACTGAAAATTATCGATTGATAGGAAATTCACTACAATTGTTAATACTACTTGGGTTAATGTAAATTATTAAAAGCCTTATCTGACTAGAAGGCTTCAACATTCAGGTATAGGTGTAGAACACTGGAGCGTCCATGTGCGTTACTTATTGCATCAAGTAGTTATTGTTAATGTCTTTGGGTTGCACAGAAGATCTGCCAGAAGTATAGATCATAACTAATGCAACTACCATTCTAATAACAGATATTGTATGACATGGATATTTAGATTATTATGATAGTCTTACCCTATTTTGGGTTACTGCCCGCCTCATGACCAGTTTGTTATACTTATACTATAAGGCTCTGTAATAACAAGTAAATAATTTGAGCAAACAGTAAACGAGGTACTCCCGTAATGATGAGGTTGAAGGAGTAGATTTACGTCAAGATGACTTGGGTTGGCGAGTATTGGCGGTACTGCTTATTGTGCGCCCTCCCAGAAGTGGATGAAAATTCAGAATGGCGT